GCGGGGGGAGGACGCTCCCCTCCTTCCCCTCCTTCCCCTCCTTCCCCTCCTTCCCCTCCTTCCCCTCCTTCCCCTCCTTCCCCTCCTTCCCCTCCTTCCCCTCCTTCCCCTCCTTCCCCTCCTTCCCCTCCTTCCCCTCCTTCCCCTCCTTCCCCTCCTTCCCCTCCTTCCCCTCCTTCCCCTCCTTCCCCTCCTTCCCCTCCTTCCCCTCCGTAGCAGCAGGCTGGGGCAGAAGCAGGCGGGGGGCACACAAGTTGCCTTTCGCTTTATTTTCTTTCCTCTTCTCGCAGACGGAAGCTGGCAGAGCGTACGGAGGCGAGCGTGCAGGTGTCAGAGTTCAACGTCAGCTGCAAAGGTGAGATCCCTGGCAGACCAGGCAGAGCTCCGCCTGTCCAACTGGGATGGTGCTGCCTGCCCACAGCTGCCAGCTCGGGATTTGCTGGGTCCGCCCCAGATCTCTGGGCTGCGTGCAGCTGCAGCCCCTCGCCGTGGCGGTGCTGCGCCTGTGTTGATGCATGGGACCTCGTGTAGGTGCTGGGGAGAAGCTGGTTCTGTCTGAGCTCCTGCAGCCCATCCGGCCCAAATCCGCCCTGAGCAGCGTGAAGAAAGAGCTGAGCAGAGTGAAGCAGAAAAAGGCGGTGGAGCTGCCGCTCAGCAAAGAGGAGGCGAAGCGGGTGAGTGGGCCTGTGCAGGCAGCAGAGGGAAGTTCTGGCCTTACGGGGCCAGCTGAGCCCTTGCATGCCCCTCTGCTCCTCTCTGCCGCGGACTGGCTTTTCCTCTCTGCATCAGCCTTTTCCCTTCTCACCCCTGCCTGCAGGTCGTGAGGGAAGCTGCCTACGTCAGGACCTCTAAAGACGTGGGCAAATGGCAGCAGGTGGTTTTGCAGAACCGGCGGGCGGAGCAGCTGGTTTTCCCTCTGAAGCAGGAGATCCCTACGGTCGTCCCTCTGGAGCAGGTGGCTTCAGCATGGAAGGTGGGTGCTGTGACGCAGCTCCCAGGGGTCGGCTGGGGCAGCTCGACATCTGGCTGCGCTGGGAGGAGCGAGGGAGGCGTGAGGAAGGCCCAGCTTGTAGCCGAGGCCCTGGGTGTGTGGCCGCTGAGCTTGGGAAGATTGAAAGGGAAGCCTTCTGTGTTCCTCGCACATAGCAGATGTGTAAATGCTCTCTGGGAGAGGCCGGGTAAGGCGTCAGCAGAGGATTCGGAGCCTGCTCTGTTCCCTCACCTCTTTTTAGCCTCTCAGCCCTAGACGTGCGGGCTGAGCCAGCCATTTCCCAGTCCCTGGGCTGAGCCGTGTGCCTGCTGGTAGCCCTCGTCCGCTTGTGTTGCGGCAGAGAGGGGGGCTTGGTTTGCCAAAGCCTGCGCGTCTGTGAATCTTCATTATGAAAGAAGGATGCTTTTGGCTTTGAACGCGAGTTCAGGTGGGGGTTGCGCTGCTGGCAGGACAGTCACTGTCATCCCTGAGAGCTCTCGCAGCCCCTGCCAAGCTCCCGACGTACCCGGCACTCGCCTCAATCTGCCCAAAGGCCCCTTTCCGTTTTGGCGGGATGTGGTGTCACATGGCCTGGAACTTCTGCTGCATCCTTTTTGTCCAGTGCTCCCTGGTCAGCGCTGCCTGTCAACTGCGAGCCTCTTTCTCTACCCTGGGAGAAATTCTGCCTGCCCTAACCTGGCGCGGTGGCTGGGAGGGCGCCTGGGCAGGCCCCCAGTGAGCCTTGGGCTGTTGTGTGAGACCCGTGAGCGGGGCTGTGACCCCAGCCCCCCGGAGGAGAGGGGCACGCTTCGCTGGGCCGTCCCATGGACCTGCTCAGGGGCACCAAGGAAGGCTGGGGACATCTGGGGGAGCGTTGGCTCTTGCGATTCTTCTCTTTGCATTGTGCTCTTGCTGTGTCTGTTCTGTCCCAACAGGCCCGAACTCCCCTGGAGCAGGAGATCTTTGCGCTGCTCCACAAGACGCAGCAGCCCATCACAGACCCGCTCCTGACGCCAGAGGAGACAGCCTCGCTGCAGGCAATGAGCTTGGAGGAGGTGAGTGCTTACCCCCCTGCCACGGCCTGGCTCTGGAGGCCTCTTCCTTGGCGCTTGCCCTCACTCTGCGCTCCCTGGCAGGCCCAGCGCCGGCGGGCAGAGCTACAGAAGGCTCGGGCTGTGCAGTCCTACTACGAAGCCAAGGCTCGTCGAGAGAAGAAGATCAAGAGCAAGAAGTAAGGCTCTGCTGTTGCTGGGCTCGGTGCGGTGGGAGAGGGCTGGGAGCCAACCCCGCCCAGTGCGTGGGTACGGCCAAAACATGGAGGAAGGCAGAGCGGCCCCCTTCGTCCCTGGGATCTGCAGTGTCTCGGGCAGCCTCGTGCCCAAAGCAACGCTGCGTTCCCAAAAGCACCGTGAGGCCTCACTCCCTGGCTCTCTCCACCCTTGGGCTGCAGGTACCATCGCGTGCTGAAAAAAAGCAAGAGACGCAAGGCCTTAAAGGAGTTTGAGCTGCTGCATAAGTCAGACCCTGAGGCCGCCTTGGCCAGGCTGGAGGAGCTGGAGCAGCTCAGGATGCAGGTGCTGCTTCTGCGCTTCTCCCCCACCCCTTGGGAAGCCCCCGCTCGCAAGGGTGCCCTTTCTGATCCTTCTCTTCCTCTTCCCCTCAGGAGCGGATGAGTCTTAAGCACCAGAACAAGGGAAAATGGGCCCGCTCCAGGGCCATTATGGCTAAATATGACCTGGAGGTGAGATCACAGAATCATCGAACGGTTTGGGTTGGGGGGGACCTCTGACGCCCATCTAGTCCAGCCCCCCTGCCGTGGGCAGGGACGTCTTTCACTAGGTGGGCTTGCTCAACGCCCCGTCCAACCTCACTTTGGGATGGGGCATCCACAGCTTCTCTGGGCGACCCGCTCCAGTGTCTCACCACCCTCGCCATAAAACATTTCTTCTTCATATCTAACCTAAACCTGCCCTCTTTTAGTTTAAAGCAGTGGTCCCTTGTCCTGCCACCACAGGCCTTGGTATAAAGTCTCTCTCCATCTTTATTATAAGCTCCCTTTATGTATTGAAAGGCCACAGTAAGGTCTCCCAGAGTCTTCTCTTCTCCTTTATGCATTTGCAAGTCCCCTTGTCCTATTTAACCCCAAATTTCCAGTCTCCTGAAGCATCGCAATCCCCTCCCAGGCCCGCAAGGCAATGCAGGAGCAGCTGGACAAGAACAAGGAGTTGATGCAGAAGGTGCGGGTGGAGCTGCCCGAGGAGGAGCCAGCTGATGTCCCTGAGGAGGACCTCACGCCAGTGACCGTCCCCACCATCCCCACGGGTGCCAGCGGAGCTAATCCCTGGATGCTGGGCAAGCCCAGCAGCCCAGCCGAGGAGCCTGAGGTGCAGGAGGGTCTTGGAGACGTTGCGGTGCCTGCTGCTGTGGAGAGCAAGGAGGAGATGGAGGAGGAGGAGGAGGAGATGTCAGAGGAGGAAGCTCTGCTACAAGACTTTGCGCAGAAACGGCACGCGCGGCAGCAGCGGGCAGGGAGCGCTGAGGGACAAGGTGAGGAGCTCGCAGCGCCGGGCAGCACGGGCCTGGTGTGCCGCAGGGCTGGGCAAACAAAAGGGGGCCGGGGGGGCTGGTTTGTGCCCCAACTGACACTGCTGTCCTGCTCTCCTCCCTGCTCGTGGGTGACTGTTTCTCACCTCTTGCCTCTGTGCGTAGGTGCTGATGAGGCGGAGACGGTTTCTGAACCGCCAGGGGACAGCCCCATCCAGCCCATCTGTGCCGAGGAGCCGGCGAGCCCAGGGATCGAGCAGCCACCCCAAGCCCAGGAGGAGATCCTGCTGTCGGAGCAGCTGCGCCGGGTGCGGACGATGGAGGATGTCGAGGCTCTGGCCTCAGAGGAGCGTGCGGAAGAACAGGAGAAGCCACCAGCCGCAAGAGCAGAGAAGCAAGTGCAGCAGCAGGAGCAAGGCAAAGCTGGGGACAGGCATGCCAAGAACGCCCCAGCCAAAAAGAAGAAGAAGATCATTAGCCTGCAGGCCATGCTGGCTGGGAAGTCCCAGGAGGTTCAATGCCCCAGTCTACCTGTGGTCGTGGAGGAAGAGGTGAGCGGGACGGGCCTGCCCCGTGGTCCCAGGGCAGGGCTGACTGCAGGCGGCTGACTCTCCTCTCCACAGGAGGGTGGCATCGACCAAAGAGCGGTGATCACAGAGGCCTTTGCCGGAGACGACGTGGTCGCTGACTTCCGCCGGGAGAAGCGCAAGGCAGAGGAGGCTGCGAAGCCACAGCCGGTGAACCTGGTGCTGCCAGGCTGGGGCGAGTGGGGAGGCACGGGACTGAAGCCCAGCGCCAAGAAAGTAAAACGGTAAGCGCGGAAGAGCTGCGGCAACGTGCCTCGGCCCGGCACCAGGGCCTGACGTCTCGTTTGCCCGGCAGGTTCCTGCTCAAGCCGCTCCCGGCGCCTCCCAGGAAGGACCAGCACTTGCCCCATGTCATCATGAGCGAGAAGCGCAATATCCACGCGGCAGCGCACCAGGTGGGTGACGCCCGGCCTCCGCGCGTGCCAGCACCCAGGCTGGCCCGGAACCCTCCTGTGACCTGTTCCCAAAACGTCCCGAATCCCTCCTGCCTGTAATCACTGCCTGGCCACGCAGTTTCCAGCTTTGACAGCTCAGAGGCCGGCAGGGTGATGGAGGGAGGAGGAATTTACAGGACTGCCCCCTTGACGGTGGGGGCGGTGGCTGCTGTGCCAGCCCTCCCGGGATCCCCCCCAGAGGAGGGGATGGGGCACGGTGGTCAGCGGGGCCGGGGCCTGGAAGCAGAGCACGGGCGGGTCCTGGACGAGCGGGAATCGGCGGCAGCGTGGGATGAAAGCCGGGTGGCTGTGGGAGTTACCCCGCTGCGCTGTTTCCCCGCAGGTCAGCGAGCTGCCCTTCCCCTTTGAGAGGCACCAGCAGTTTGAGCAGAGCATCCGGATGCCCGTGGGCCCCACCTGGAACACGCAGCGTGCCTTCCAGAAGCTGACCGCCCCCCGCGTCGTTACCCGAGCGGGCCACATCATCCAGCCCATCTCTGCCGAGGATGTCCCCGACATGGCCACCGCAGCTGGCACTGGAGCCAAGCCAGCGCTAGAAATCGTGCCCAAGCAGCAAGAGCG